TAAATTTAAAAATAAAAAAATATATATCATAAATTAAAATTATTATTGTTTTTTTTAATAAAAAATTATAATTTAAAATTATAATTTTTTAAAAAAATTTTAAAGAGTTCGTAGTAGGTCCAAGAGCAATGGCTATGTCAATAATAATTGGTGTGAAGAAAATCATCTCTCTCTCTAGGATGATTGAGGCCATGACCTGACTCCTCACACGATCTTTCATTACCCTCTTTAGTAGATATTTTTCTGGCGAACAGAAATCACTAGGGCATGACCATTGTCCCAGTGCTGCTTTTGCGTCATTGCTTACGTTTTTGTTTTGTGTATCATGCTAAGAAGAAACTGCTAAATTAGTACAGGGTTCCAGTCGAAGAACAATAATGCACCTTTTCTATGACACATTTCTTTCAAAACGTACGTTTTTTTTTTTTCTAATTTTATGAATTTTTGAGATAAGAGAATTACTAGTATTTAAAAATAAAATTTAAAATTTTATGTACTAACATATTTACAGAAAAAAGGTGTGATCATTACTCATTTAGCGTTGGAGAAAATGTGCGTTGTTGTTCGTAACATCTTCACCTGCAATGTGGACCCCACCCTCAGAGTGCGGTGTCCACTCTCCAGTGACTTGACCATACTTTTTTATCACACCATTGGTCACATTGATTGCCATCTAGCGAAAGGGTAATTTGGAGATTTCAAAACCGCATGGCACCAATAATATTTGCCTTGAGCCACACCTATTTTATATATACCACCATCTATTCCAATAATTCCATAATATCCCTGTTAACTCTCTAGCATAATTTGCTTGTTTTTCCTAGATCTATTGAAGTGAAGATGGGCGATCTTGTCTTGGGTCCTATTGTTGATGCCACCATATCCAAGGTGATTTCAGTTGCTACTGAGCAAATCAACCTTGCAGTCAGTTGGAAGGCAGAGCTCAGAAGACTTTGCAAGAAGTTGACCATGATTCATGCTGTGTTGCAAGATGCAGACAGAAGGCAAGTTGGAGAGGCAGCTGTGAAGCTTTGGCTTGAGAACCTCAGAGATGTGGCTCGTGAGGCTGAGGATGTTGTGGATGAGGTTGTTTATGAAAGACTGAAACAGGAGGTATGGATTCAAAAGCAAATGAAGAAGAAGGTCTGTCTCTTCTTTACTTTCTCCAATCCTTTCATATTTCGTCTCAAGATGGCTAATAAGATCAAGAATCTTATTGCTTCTATAGTTGAGATTAATGAGGACGCCAGACAATTTGGACTTCAGTCCAGACATGCTATCCCTGAACCTAGAAGCAACCCTCAAATGGTATACCCCTTGCCTGGTTATTGTCGTAGAGTCATAGGAAGAGAGAATGATGAGTCAAAAATAGTTGACTTGTTGATTGATCCAAATAATGAGGAGTCCCTTTCTGTTATATCTGTAGTGGGTATGGGGGGTCTAGGAAAAACCACCTTAGCAAAATCAGTGCAAAATCATGAGAAAATAGTGAGGAATTTTGGTAGAACAATTTTCATTTGTGTGTCTGAAGTCTTTGATGTCAAAAAAATCCTAAAAGAGATGTTAGAATATCTCACCAAAGAGCGTTGTTCAATTGAAATTGAGGATATCATAGTTAGAAAAATACAAGATGAGTTAAAAAATGAAAACTATCTACTCATCTTAGATGATGTGTGGAATGAGGATAGAATGAAGTGGGAAGCCTTAAGGGGTTGTTTGTTAGAAATAACTAAAAATAAAGTGAGTAGAATGGTTGTGACAACTCGAAGTGAAAATGTAGCGTCTATAATGGGAGCATTCGGAGAACACATGTATCATCTTGAAGGACTAGAAGATGAAGAGTGTTGGTCTATAATAAAGCAGAGAGCATTCGGAGGTTCTTCAGTGCCTAATCTGGAGCTGGAAGCGATTGGAAGGCAGATCGCTAAAAAATGTAAAGGTGTACCCTTAGTTGCCAATGTCATTGGGGCTAGTCTGAGTAATCCAAGGGATAGAGGTGAATGGGTGTCAGTCAACAATAGTTTTGATGCAAGGAGTTCACTGGAAGATGATAGTCGGGCATGGACTATTCGAGTTTTACAGTTGAGTTTTGATCGCTTACCTAACACAACATTGAAGCAATGTTTTGCCTTTTGTTCCATTTTCCCCCAGGATTGGGAAATTGAAAAGGAGATGTTAATTCAACTTTGGATGGCTGAAGGCTTTCTTCAACCATCACAAGGAAGTTCTATGGAGGATATTGGTAACAAGTATTTCAATGACTTGTTGTCATATTGTTTGTTTCTAGAGGAAGAAAGAGATTCAACTGGAAAGATTAAGTCATGCAAAATGCATGATTTAATTCATGATCTTGCCACTTACAATTCAAAATCAGAAACACTTATTTGGAAAGCTGGTTCAGAGAGCAATATTGCTCATGTTCGGCATTTGAATCTCGTTGATGCTGAGGAGATGGTGCCAGCAAATTTTGTGGAGGTGGCTGGAAAACTGCATTCCTTATTTCTTAAAGGTGATATTTTGGGCAAGATACCAGATAGCTTCAAAAGGTTACGCATTCTTAGCTTTGAAAAAGATAGCAATTGGGATGTTAATATTGAGCAGTTGCCAACTTGGATCAGCAAGATGAAGCATTTGAGGTATCTAGACATTTCATTCTCTAAAATTAAAGAACTACCCCAGTTTATTATGGAGTTGTATAGTTTGCAAACACTGAGGTTCATGTATTGTTCTCGGATTGAAAAACAGCCAGAAGGGGTGGAAAACTTAGTCAGCTTGAGACACATTTATTTCAATCGTCCCAGTTGTATGCCACTCAAAATTGGTAGGCTGAAGGATCTTCAAACATTGCAGTTATTTGTTGTCAGTCTACAAGAGGGAAGTCGAATTGAGGAATTGGGATGCTTTAGCCAACTTGGAGGTGAATTAAGGATATGTCATCTAGAGCATGTTGAAAACTACTCAGAAGCCGAGAAAGCAAAACTTTCGGAGAAGATTGAACTTTATACGTTGAGTTTGGAATGGACAGAAAGAAATACAGAAGAATGTAATCATGATGAAGATGTGTTAGCAGTCCTCAAACCTCCCCCAAATTTGAGAAACTTAACTATAGAATGTTATGGAGGTGAAAAATGTCCTCCATGGATGGAGCCTAGTTTGAGTGAATCATTTTCGCTCAACAATTTGGTGGACTTGAATATCTTACGATGCAAAAAGTTGAAAAGCATTCCAATCATCGGGTTATCATCTCTTCAAGACCTTCGAATTAGTGATTGCCTTGAATTAACCAGAATCGGAGATGGAGCATTTGCCTTTCCGGCGTCTCTCATACAACTACGCATTCGGTCATGTCCAAGATTGGAAACAATTGGGGAAAGTATTTCGACCCTCACATGCCTAGAAGAGTTAGAGCTAGAGGAATGTGAAGATCTGACGCCCATTCCAAGTGTAAATGGGCTTTCTTCTCTAAGAGAGTTACGGATTGACAGATGCAGTTCAGTGGTGAGTCTACCAAATGGACTGTCCTCCTGCACTGCTCTTAAAGAATTGACCATGGTTAGATGCCCTAATCTGATCTCCATCTTCGAAGACTTGAAGGATTTGCATTCTATGGTTCACTTAAATATTTTTGGCTGTGAAAATTTGAGTATTCCGGAGGAGAGCTTCAGCCGTCTTGTCTGCTTGGAGTATTTGGGAATTGGTGGTTTCTCAAAAGAGTTTGAGGAATTCCCATATCTTAATTCCATCCACCACCTCCACGCCTCCCTTCAAGCATTAGCCTTGTTTGGGTGGGAAAAACTAACGTATCTACCACCTCAAATTCAACACCTCACTTCTCTAAGGAGATTGAGAATATTTCATTTCAATCAAGTGGAAGCTTTGCCGGAGTGGTTGGGAAGTTTGTCATCTCTTCAATTTCTGGACATTGCTGACTGCGCAAATTTGAAATATCTGCCTTCTGCACAAGCCATGCAACGCCTCTCCAAGTTGCAGAATCTTAAAATTGTTCGCTGTCGAGAGCTAGAAGGAAGATGTGAAAAGGAAACCGGCCTCGAATGGTTCAAAATTTCTCACATTCCAAAAATCCATATACAAAAAGTGTACATCCAATAACAAGGAGATTGGGCCCTTTTTCTGAGGTATATATTTAAATTTCTTAATCCTCAACTTCTCTTCTTCCTTATAATAAATTCCACCACTAATTTTGCTTTTTTCTTCAATTCAGACTTCAAAGTAACAAAAAGAGTCAAATTTATCAATCCAAAGGGTTACTTATGGCTGCTTCAATCCTCTTAACCTACAATGCTTGTGAAAATTCTTTAAAAGGTAATTTCTTATTACTCCAACTCTTTTCCATATAAGAATTCTTTTACTACCTTGTTTGTTTTGAAGAGAGGGGAATAAAATTTCCTATTTGGATAACAAAATTTGGAGGGGAGGGAATTAGAGGGAGGATTTACCTTTAATTTCATTTATAATTTTAGTATAACTAAATGAAAAAAGGGGAAGCAGGCAAGAGGGAGGGAAACGGATGGTATTGTGGCCCCTCCATTTCCCTCAAACCAAACAAGGGTAGGGATTTCTCATTATTCGCAATGTATAATAAATGATTCCCATGGTTAGGAGGAATTGAAAATGGGTGGTTTTCTCAAACTATTTATATAATTATATGTTGAGTCTACTGGAAGTGTTTGTCCACGCATGAGTCTGCATCTTTGTATACATGTATATGCATAGGTCACTGGTTTACCGGCGCCTAAGAAATCCTCATCAATCCAGTAAGTTCTTAGAACTTGTAGCATAGTCTTTGAGTTGGGTTTTATGAACTAGCTTCAAAATTTTTATCATACAACTTGTTTGTGTAAGTACCCAGTAGGAGTAGGGTCTTAAATCATTTGAAGCAATCTATTTATGGGAGTATCGGATGCAGAGTAGCTTCTAGCTTTCATGAATATATAATTAAATAAATTTTCTCATTCCTTAAGCAATTGAAATGAATATGATTCTTCTCTCCTACTTCTGATTTTTCATTGTAAAAGATAGTTATTTGTAGTCTGTTACTATACTGATTATTTGATTTTTCCTGTTTTAATGCAAAAACTAAACTTTGATTAATATTGATTAACTTTACAACCTTGTGAAATGTGGTGTTCAGTTATTTGAATTAATCATATAAGGAAATAATCAAAGTGATGATGAGCGTTTGCTTGGTTTTATGTTGTTTTCTAGGGATTCCTATGCACTTAGGATGAGCAAGGTCTTGCTGGATATTTTTGTGATGTTGTTTCGGACGGCAGCATCTTGAATGTTAAGGATTTTGATTATAAGAGAGTTCTATGAAAGGGAAGCTTTGACACAATTGTTGGGGAACTTGTTCATTATTGGAAGACCAGATTTCTAGTCAAAATATGAAATAATTGCCTTCTACTGGAGTCATGCAATGCCAAGAGGTACTGACTGATTGGAAGTTTCTTGCATTCCAATATCCAAGTAGAATGAATGCATCCAATTCCAAGAATATTGAGCTTCTCAGGTACATTTTCTAAACCTCAACACCTCTTCTTCCTTAAAAACTTGCCATCACTAAGCCTCTCTTCACCCTATCATTAAGCAGTTGTATCTTTTATGAATTCTAACTCTTAAGCAACACCAGTAATTAAATTTGTCAATTCATAAGGTAAACCTAGGTTGTTCCAACTGTTTGCAGTGTATGAGGGATTCTTTTAGGTATCCTCTTTTGGCTTTTCTCAAAGAGGTTTCATTTATGAAATTAACAAGTTACACTATAATAAATTTTATTTCATTAATTCATTTTTCTAGAACTATTTGCTGGTTATTCAGTTATGGAGTTATCATGTACTTTGGATTTGAGCATTTGAAGAACCCTGGGTAGTCTTTAATTCACACCATAGAGAAGTAGCAAGGAGAAGGGAGGAAGCTTCTTGACAATACAAAATATTATTCAAGTATGCCTTCTAGATCATATATGAGTCCTAAGTATTATGTCTTTACAAGGATGTATAGTCTATGCAATGAGTTAAGTGTTTTTGTTGAAAATTTTGGTAGAAAGAATATTAGTAGGTGTTCATGATTAGTATCACATTCCTTGTGCCAGATGGCTTTTTGTACATAAAGAGAAGAGCGGATGTAGCTTAGCTTATGGACTCTCTGATTATAGAGAGTTTTATAAATTGGAAGCTTTGGCATAGTTGTTGTGAACTTGGTCTCTATTCAGATATTCAATTTTTTTCCATAATTTGAAATATTTGCCTTCTCCTGGAGCCATCCAATACCAAGAGGTGCTGTCTGATTCAAAGTTCCTTACATTCCAGTATCCAAATAGGCCAAGTGCATCCAATTCTAAGAAGATTGACCTCCTCAGGTATATTTTCTTAGACCTCAGCTTCTTTAAAACCTTCCCATCCATCCCTAAGTTTATCCTCTCCATCCCCATATCAGTAAGCATTTGTATCTTTTTATCAATCCAGACTTCAAAGCAACCCCTGAAATCAAATTTGTCAATCCATACGGTAATCCCTGGATGTTCCAATTTTTTGCAGTGCAATAGATGAGGAATACTTTTAGGTAATCTCTTTTTTTTTCATTTTCTGAAAATGTTAAACTCATGTTTCATAAAAGATGTCAACAATTGACCATATAACAATTTTCATTCCATTCCCTTTTTCTATACCAGCTTATGGGAGAATGATTCAATTGTCCAAACATTGATCTATTGATTTCACATATTTAGAGATGATTCCAGGTTACATCAAATCTATTGCATTCTTCATTTGATGGTGTTTTTAGTTATTGTACTCTCTCTCATCCTATCTCCATTTTATCAATTTTGCAGAACTTAGCCTTAAACTCAGTGTCACTCTACAAATTGAAGCAGAAGGAATTATACCATACATGACTTTAAGGTTAGATTCTTCAGAACTCATCATTTTCTCAAAAATTAGCCATCAACTATCACTCCATAAATGTTTGTGACTTATGTCACTTTTCTTTAATATGTGTAATTTTTTTTTTTTATCAGTCATGTCTGTTATTTGGATACTTTGATATGAAGTTAATGAAGAATATTAAGAGTTTACATTAGCTTTTAAAATTTGGCATTTGATCATTTACATTGCAAAATATGTTCTTATAAGACAATTAATACCATTGAGCATTAGGTCTCCTAATTAACTGCTACTTTCATACTTGGGGGGACTATCTATCAATTTTCTGTTCTTAAATATCTTTCCCCATCTTATATTTTCCACTGTAACTTTTCATGATCAGTACATCTAGTACTTTTTTTCCCACTAATTTATTTCTTTTTTCGTGTGCAGGCATGGAACCTTAAGTGGTAATAGATTATATTCTTTTCCTGAGGAAGTCACTTGACAAAGCAAAAATGTATCATGTATGCCTTCTAGATCGTTTAAAAGTCTTATTTAAGCATTATTGCTTTACATTTGAGCATAGATAGTCTTTCCAACTGAGTACCATCAATACATTTTATTTGTTTGAGAATTAATTTTGTTTATTATTAGTGTTCAATGTTCAGCATCTCATTCATTAAGCCACAAGGTCTTTCGGAAGTAAATTAAGGAGAATAGCAAATGCAAAGTAGCTTATGGACTTCGATGACGGTCTGTTAGTGTACAAGTAATTCTCAAATTAAAATTCATCTAAAATGAATTTGCTTTTGTTATTTCCTCCACTTGTGACTTTTACAGTTTATTATAAAGTTCATTGTTGTTTGCTTGTTATCTTCTCCGCTGATTATTTGATATTAATTTCTATTTCTTCAGCTCCAGCTGCGGTTGTGCAGACTTCAGTTGTCGGTAGACAGTCCCTTACTTGAGTATCACAGCCTCATTTCCAATTAGCGTAAACCACATTCTTTCAGACAGATAGTTAAGGTATGTCACTACAAAGCCTCAAGAAATGTTTTTGTTGTGTGCCTAGTAGTTTGGCTTTGAGAATCATAAATAAACAATCTGTCTGATTAGTGCTCTCTTGTTTTCATATATCATGTACTTAGGATGAGCAATTTTGTGCTAGAGGTTCAAGATTTTGTTGTAGGTGGCAGCATCTTCAATGGTAGGTAGGTGAAGTACTTAAAATGATAGCTTAGTTTACAAATTAGTTTATGTTATCAGCTCAATAGAAAAGTTCGATCATTTGAATGCAGTTTTACCATTGGTCATGCAGGCAGGAGTATCAACTTCTCTGATACATCAAGGAGCTGACTAGACTTTGCTTTGCTGCACTTTGATTATGCTATAGAGATTACATGACGATGGCTGCTACATTTCAATCATCTGCCATTGTGATCCTGATGGCAGTAGAATTATATGGTTTATGGGTTTTGATATAAGATTTGGTGAACTTGGGGAGCTTCTATAGAAAGATACGGTAACAAAAAATAAAATAAAATTCTAGATGTTTGTACTTTGATATTCACATAGTGAAGTATTCTCCTAACTTTGTACACTAAATCTGTTTGTTTGAACTTCTTTGATTATCTTTTTCTCGTATCTAATGGTCATGTCCTACCCCATGTCTAAAACATTATCTGTAAGGGTGCACCCTTTTGGGTGTTGAAGTTTATATATCCAATAGAAGATGTTGCTTGCAATGCTTTTTGATGCAGGAAGGCTTCCAAGACTCATAGTACTTCTTCCTGCCAGGAGATTAAAAAATGAAAAAAGACGAACTCAGAAATGTGATTAGGGAAGGTGTATACTTCCTACGGGTTATATTTGTTGTACTCTAAATTTTATATTGTTACATCACCATACAAATTAATTTACCAAAAAATGACTGATTGCCACAATATTATATAGTTTTTATTATATAGTTTTTATATAGAAGGGGAAACATCTAGGAAGATCAGAAGTAATTTAATAAAAACCTATTTGGTCTAACAAAGAAATTTGGTAAAATAGATGATTTAAGAATTGAGCCAAGCACTCTAACAAGCATAATGTTTGTTTTATTAACCTCCTGGCATCGAGAGTTATATTGAATCTTAATTAGTATTGATTTAAGAATTTGAAACTATTTAAAAAAAAATTAATGTCTTTTTACTCGAATTAATAAATCGTTAATACAAACATAGGATATTGATGCCTAAAAATGATAAAAGTTGATTTTATCAATAATTTTAACCCAACTTGTTCATTTAAAATGAGTGGTACTTAAAAATTCTTGGCATGTAAACACGTTTTACTTAATTTATTTAGTGCATAATTTATGTAGGGGTAAGTTAACAACCCACAATATAATACAATAAGTGGGTCACGAGTTACTTTCTCTAACTAAGAAACTATTTGATCCAACCTATTTGATTTATAATCCGTGACGAACCAACATAACTCATCTATTTGTCATGTCTTGTTAGGATTTTTGATGCACAAAAGCTTGGGGTGCGTTTGTTAATTAAGAAACTTCTCTTTAGATTCTTTAGGGTTATTTTGATATTTTTATATTTTAACGCAACAACAAAATAAGGGTAACAAGAGCATTTTTAACCTTAACTTTTCTTGACGCCAATTTTTAATAAATAAACTTTTCTTCTCATAAATTTTGAAATGAAAGTGTTTCACTCTAATTGTTCCAATATGGGACCCTTCACAGCCTTTTTTTCCAACTTTTCAATATCAACTTCTTATCAAATATGAAAATGTTGATTAATTTTATTACAAAATTTATCTACAATATTTTTTTAACTTCTTATACAATATTTTTTTGTGGTCAATAAAAATATCCTCCATAAAGTTGCACTTATACCAAAACAAAAGCATATGGGCAGGAGATAGAACCTTAGAAGGTGATCTAGCTCAAAGATGTTGAGTTTAAACCAGTTGACCTAACCAAATAGAAAAGAGAAAGCCCAATCCAAAATTCAAAGAGGCCGAAGTATTCTTTTAGCCCGTTAATAAAACACAAGCTCTATTTTTTGTCCGGAAAAACACAAACCTTATCTATTCCTCCTCCTCATATTCGGGAACAGATACCCAGATCAGTCATTCTGCTAGTCAATCCATGCTCATCGTCTTCTTCTCGTTCGACTTTCTTTCTCATCTTTATAAATCGTTAATTGCAATTTTCTTGATTCCGCCTATAACAGATTTTGCTTGTTGGAGACTGGGTTAGATTTCTTTCTTTCCTCTGGCTTCTGGGTTCTCGAAAGAGTTCGTTTGAATGATTGTTCGACAGGTGAGAAAAATTGTGTCCTTTTCTCGGTTTTGGTTTTGAGTATGGAGTAGAATTAAACTTGGGTTTCATTTCTTCTGCCATGAAGAACAGGGTTTCATGCTTTTTCGAAAAAGAAAAATTATCAGCGCCTGATTACGCCGCTGCCATGGCGTGGCGGAGATGGGGGTTATCTCTTACTTGTTTTTCCTCTGCATCTTGCGATACAGCTCGTATAATCATCCGTGTTGTGTTGCAAGATGCAGGGAAATGCAAGTTAGAAACGCATACGCATCCCAGAAGTTAAAAGGTAAAAGGAAAGATGTCAAAATTTTCCCATTTTTCAAACATTTTCAGGTATATTTAAATTTATAGCATTGTTTTTCTAGACTGCTTATTTGTACATGGTTTTGATAATTTACTTTTGCTTTAAAAAAAAAATTATGTGAGATATTGCAGAACACCTCTTTGGGGTTTCATAATACCATTATTGTGAGTTTTAGACCATTTATTTACCTGTTAACGTTTATGAGTCTGTTAGGTGTTTCTTTGTGTGTATATGAGTCTTTATGTTGAGGCCACTTGACCTTGAAGAAGGGAAATTTTCTTGATCAAAGGTTATTCTAGTATACTTGGTAGATCTTTTATGCGTCTTTAATTGGGAATTATGGCCTATAAATATCTGAGCATGGTATTTGCAATTGAGTGTGGTCTTACAATAAAACTAATTTGTCTGAGAATTACGATGGTAAA